AAAAAACCCGTCCATGGTCAAAGCGATGCTATGAAATGCCACTGAGCTATAGAAATTTAAAAAAAAAAATCAAAGTTCTCGTATATTTCAAATGGGAAATCTTCACACGCTGTGTAGGAGTACTTAATATTAATATTAAGGGCTCAAACTTTCAGGGAATTTTTTTGGGTGTATTTCCAACAAAATTTCGGGATGGAAACCGAAAAAAAAAAAATAGTCGCAAAAAAAAAAGCATCCTAATATATATACATACATATATAAATTTTTTAACTAACTTTATTTTTGAGCTTTACTCGACTAGTTAAGTGATATTACAACAAAATTCCGAGTAAATTCCGACATGAGGACCAATGCAAAAGATTGATTTCTATGAAATCTACCTAAAAAAAGGCTGGTAAAATATTTTATTCATCAGAGGCTTTACTTCTCTCTGTGTTATATTGCTTAATAATTAATAATCTTACGATTAGTTTTGATGTACTCATTAATCGGATCAATAAGAACAGTTGCAGGGACACCCATGTTGAGTCTAGGATATCGAGTTGTAGAAGTAATAACATTACAAACAGTAATACCAAGTAATTCTCCCGTAGTAGGTCTAATAATGGGTCCACCACTATTACCACTTTGAACATAACAAGTAGTTTGAAGCATACATGACGATACATTTGAAATATTACCATGTGTAATGGTCGGTAAGTTTGAACATAAAAATGGATACCCCGCGCTAATGACACTTTCTCCTAGAATTAAAAATTTTTTTTAAGTATTATTATTATTATTATTATTATTATTATTATTATACAAATACATTTAACGCTCATAACCATAACTTATATCTGTACCTCTTAAAACTAAACTATTTCCAATCTTTAGAGGTTTTATCGCACTGTTTATCTCGTTTGGGTCAACTTTCAAGATAGCAATATCGTAAGGTACACCTTTGGGAGTACGATAAATTAATTCAGCCCATTGAATTTTCATAGATTGAGAGCTTAGATTCTTGCGACTAAAGCCAACTTTAATCCTTCGATTTGGTGCCTAAAGTATGATAATATTTATATTTAGCCATTTGTTATTTTATTTAATTTAGTTTTTTCTATCAAAATAATGGAAAAAAATGTCAGATTACTTACCTTATCAATCACATGAGAGCATGTTAAAATGGTGCCAGTACCTCTATCCAAAAGTATACCACTACCCCATTCAGAACCACAATATATTAGTACCACACACTTATTTAGGGAGTCTGTAATTAAAAAGATCTGATTAATTGTTATTAATAACAAAAATTATTAAAAGCAGATTTGTGGATAATGCATAAAAATAATATTAGAATTAAAATTTGGATTATAGTTTTTCTTAATTGTGTAATGCTAAAAAATTAAATTGAACTTAAGTTTGAAATTTCTGATTTCAAAGTATAGATTAAAACAATTTTTAAAAATCATAATTTTAGCTACCGCATTCGAAAATTATTTTTCAATTTTTAATCCTAACACTCAAACAAAGAATTAAATTTTTAGTTTTTAATCCGAAATTTATATATTAGAAAATTTGTAAGCCTGATTAAAATACTTATTTTTAATTTTCCTTTGAAACAATAAAAAAGGTAGCTTTTAACAATATTTTTTCTATTGCGTTCCTTAAGTCTGATATACAAAGCGTGATGTTCTTCTATTCCTAAATAATATGTATGTAATTGAAAATACAGTACTTAGGAACCGATTATTTCGATAATTTTATCATTAGAAATAAAATTCATTTTTGCACGACTATATCATAATTTTTTCTACATCAAATGTCCGAAATTGTGGGATAAATTTCCATTGGTCTATTGAAACATAGTAAAAAGTACTTAAAACTTTTAAACGATTTGAGTCATCGTTAAAATTAGGGGAGCCTGGGGCACGACGGCCCCCTTAAGCAAATTTTTTTATTTTGTGGCTTTTAACCATCAAATTCATTTATTTTCCATCTATTTCGAACGAATCAGTCGACATTTTGCAAAAAATCGAAAAAAAAATTTTTTTTTCTGGGGCACGACGGCCCCCTCCCCAAAAAATCATATAAAAAAATTTTTTTTTTACTTAAGCTATTACCATCAAAATCTAGAGATTTTTCTCCCAGAAAACGTTGTCGAGGGAAAACCACGATTCTTACAAGTCTTGAGTATCCCCGAGAACTCACAGAAAAAAAAAGTCAACATGAAGCAAAAAAAAGACCTCAATTAAACAAAAAAAAAAAAAAAAAATTA